TTTTACAAATATCTGTCCTGAAAAGGGAAGATTTTTCGTAATAACATCTCTAAATATCATGCAATAATTTAACACACAATCTTACTGTTTCACTAGGTTGGCTTTATAGATTAAATATATTCTAATGCTATTATTTTTCCCATATAACTATGGTTTTCAATGTGTATAACAGTAAACGCTTCTTAACAAAATATGTCATTTTACACTTGTTGGCTGCTACTTTATAGTTTTCACTTACATAGGCGGATAGTGGTTCTGTGAGAAGACGATGTTATTATTTTGTTTGTTTTGTTTTTAATTATGCACAAAGCTACACAAGAGCTATCTGTGCTCTGCCCAACACGGGTACTGAAACCCGGTTTCTAGCATTTTAAGTCCGCAGACATAGACATACCGCTGTGCCACTGGGGGGCGATGTTATTATTACAAAGTCTTACTACCGATAGTGTTACCTTAGGTGGACAGGGTTTCTATAGTTCCGTAGTGTTAACACATCTGCTGTTTCAATTTTACAAGGAAAACCATTATTTTATCACAGATATATATGTCAGTTTTATCATACAAATTCTCTTAACTTATCCATTATTTGAACAAATATTATAGCCATTCATTTACCTTACATTTATAATTTTAAATTTATCCATTGCTTTATGTATAAAAGACTTCATTAGTTCTCACTTCTATATTAAATTTGCATGATATACGTTCTGCATTTTCTGATGCTTTACATGTAAAACACATATTGCCAATTTATTTCTAAAATTAATATATCATATAATGTCTATTCACCTTGAAGCATTTTACAGTATCTTCAAATGCTTCTAGAAAGGAACCTTATGATTATATACAATTTCATGTACATACATACATTCAATATGCAAAAAAATTGGGTACAGTTAATGAATGCATACGAAAAGTTACACAATGATGCTTGACCATGAAATGAAATACATATATACAGGGGTTGGATAAAATAATGGAAACACCTAACATTTTGGAATCATAATCTTTGAACATGTTATAAACAATCAAAACTTGACATATTTTAATGTTTTATTGTTTATTATTATTGCTATTTGATATTTTATTTAAATTAACTGTTTTTCACAGATATCTAAAAAACATTTGGTTATAACCTTATAAAAATGGCAGACCTCTCTGACTTTCAAAGAGGCCAAATTGTTGGTGCTCGTATGGCAGGTGCTAGTGTAACAGAAACTGCCCGAATGCTTGACGTTTCAAGAGTTACTGTCTCAAAAGTAATGACTGCCTTTGAAAGAGAAGGAAAAACGTCCTCAGCAAAGCACGGGTCTGGCCGAAAGTCGAAGTTGTCTGAGAGAGACCGTCGGACTCTAAATCGAATTGTTAGAGAGGATCGCAAGACCACGGCTCTTAAAATCACTGCAGACCTCAATGAACACCTACAGAACC